CGGAATAACCCGTAAATACGCCACTGTCTTCTTTCATTGCAAGGAGTTAGATACAACTATTGTCTTTACCTCCAGTCTTATTGTTTCAATACCGCCGAGGTGCCTAGAGATATAATTAAGTAAGAATCGTTTTACGATAAGAGATACGTTGTCATTATGTTAGGCGTTATAAATTATATCATATAAGCAAGAAGCTTTACATTTTATATAGGCAAGTTATTAAAATGGATTGTCACGGATTCATTCCCTATCGATAGAAATATATATTAATCTAGTATTCAATATAAATATAATTGTATTGACGGTGTTTCCACGATTTCCCCCGCCTTGATTATATCCTACATAGCTGTTGTAGCTTCTCTTATAGGTGAAAGATTTTTTAAAATGGATTCAGTTGTTTCAGAGCCTAGTTACAAACAAAAAATAAAATCTTTCCTATCTATACTAATATTATAAAGCTGAAGAGTTTGTTTGTTTGTTTGAACGCACTTATCTCAGGAACTACTGGTTCGAATTGAAAAATTGTTTTTGTGTTGAATAGATCATTTATTGAGGAAGACTTTAGGCTATATAACATCACGCTGCAACTATCAGGCAGCGAAGAAATAATGGAAAACGCGGACGAAGTCGCTGGCGGCCACTAGTTTATAATATTAGTAAAACACAAAATTTTAAATTTCGCCTTGATCACACAGGGAATTGATTGTTATAAATTCATAAACATATGATAACATTACATGCTTAGATTTCAAGTTCCCAAATATGTTGCCTAAATTCTTAGGAATCGCTTTAGGTAAAAATGCATTTCCCCAATGACTAGGAAGCATCTGATAACAATAAGCGCTGTCTAAAGTTATGGCATACATTATAGGGCGGACAGGTCGCAAACTTGTAAAGGAATAAAAATATCGGGTTGGCACAAAAGTAATGAGACACTTGGTTTAAGTTTTTACTTTTTTATTATTATTACAATAAAAAAAGTTTAGTCAATGATGTAATTACCATTAGTATCTAAGACTTCTTGCCAACGATCCGGCAAAGTTTGGATACCTTTTGCCCAGAACTCTGATGGCTGTGCCTCGAAAAAGTTGTTCAACTCCGCCTCTACGTCAGAGAAATCATTAAATTGTTTACCCCGCAAATGCTGTTTCAGGGCTCTAAACAAATGATAGTCTGATGGGGCGAGGTCTGGGGAATAAGGTGGGTGGGGTATCGTCTCCCAGCCCAAGTTCTCCAACTGCCGGCGAACCGCAGATGCGACGTAAGGTCGGGCTTTATCGTGCAGTAAAACTACATTGACTCGTCTTCGTCGTTTTTTCTTGATAGCGGCAGATAATTTGGTAAGCTGGGTTGAATATTTGTCAGCGTTTATAGTTTCATTGTGTAATAGCTCATAAAAGAGTATGCCTTGCGCATCCCAGAAACAGCAAAGCAGAATTTTTCGGCGGTTCTTTTGACTCGGCTTCGGTTGAGTTGGTGGCGTTTCTTCTCGAGGCAGCCAAAAAGCACGACGCGTATCGTTCTCGTAATAAATCCATGATTCATCTCCAGTAACCAGATCTGACAAAAACTCTTTACGTCGGGGTCGCAGCAAAAGTGACTGACAGATAGCGACACCGACTGCACGACTGGCGTCTGTAAGGATGTGCGGTACCCACCGAGCCAAAACTTTTCGATAACCAAGCTCATGCAGATGGTGTTCCACGGCGTGGTGACTGCATTTAAGTGCTTCCGCTAATTCACGAGTGGTAGCATACGGATTCAACTGCAGTTCGCGGCGCAAATCGTCATCATTCACTGCGGGTGGTCGCCCTGAGCGTGGCTGACTTTCAAGGCTCCTGTCTCCTGATTTAAAACGGTCAAACCATCGGGACACCGTCGCATGCCTTCTACTTCCAGCGCCTAATGCATTGTTGATATTGTCAGCCGCAGCCCGCGCACTGTGGCCTAACAAGGACTCGTATAAGTATAGTGTTCGAACTTGTCGCTCGTCCATTTTTCTTCAAACTGACTAAACAAATCGCGAGCGCGGCTTTATATACCCTACACCAGAAGTACCTAGAATGTTCTACAACATTCTAGAATATTATCGAAAAAATTGATTTTAAAAAGGAAATGTTATACATTTTTCTAGTGTGTCTCATTACTTTTGTGCCAACCCAATAAATGCTTATTTTAATTAGACTACTCTGCTTAGATGATTCGTAAGATTAGGCGATTCCTATTTAGGCTATACCTTTTACTAGCTTAGTGAAAACAAGTATAATAGGCCGATTATACCGTAGTTTCTGTATTCACAAAATCTTGATTATAAACCATTAAACATTGGTAGTTTTCTTAAAAACTCAAATTTAAACGAATATTTGATTTATTTTTAATTTTATTATTCTTTGATAAACTGAAATGCTGTAAACTATTAATTATTTTTCGCGTAAATATTAATACCAAAGTCGTTAGGAAATAACTAGTTCAAAAAAAGTTTTACTAAACTCCAATACAAATACAAATCAGCAGTTAGTGTAATACGACTGATATAGGATACCGTATAAAATTTAGCGTCAAACTCGACGTCGTTACAACGCTGTCACATCATAGAGGTTTAATCAAAGAAAACCTACAAAATGTAATCAGAATAGTAGGGGAGCAAAAGTTCTGTAGTGCAATTCTACTAATGTTAGCGTTACTATCGAAAGTCAATAGTACTTCAACTACAACCTATAATGACCCAGTTCTTGTTACTAAAACACAAAATAATATACTCGTGTATATACATATATCATACATCACCATTGATTTGTGAAGAAGCCATTGCACTAATGTCGGACTTCAGATAAATAGTACAATGCAAATGCAAGTAGTTGAGCTTATATTGAGATGCGAGAATTAAGTAAACAAATAGTAGAATTCTCACCCTAGAGATCTATTTTTTTCTCTTTTGTAGCGATATGTTTTTTATTTTCTTTACATTTTTTCAAACCTTTTCTTTTATTTCTACTTTAGAAATAGCTTCGTTTATTAAGATTCGCCTTTTTGGAGCATATTGCAATTAAGTCAAACTTAATAAGTCTCAGCCTGTAGCTTCGGCCTGATAACACTGGTAAACAGTATTTTTGTTAAACAAAATCGAGTCGGTTTTTTAAACACTACTACCTACCCGCATATAAACCTCATACTTAGTTTTGTTCAATCACCCTCAGTTTTCGTTAAACATAAACTAAATTGATTACGCGAATTTTGCTTACCGACGTATGTTTCCGATAAATTAATATTGAATTATTGAAATTAAAACGGTTTTTTTTTGTGATTGTCGTTTCTGTACATCGTAATAAGATGCCCAGAGTGTGTGTAAACCATCCTGATAACTTTTGTTACATTTGCGGTCAACTTACTATTAAAAGTCAACGTCGTAATTTAGTTAAAAACTGTTATTTTAATTATTTTGGCTTTCCGGTGCGAAATTTGGACAAAACCTGGACTCCTAGTGTGCACAATGTGTTAGTTTATTAACATCATGGGCTAAAGGATCTCGTCATATGCCGTTTGCAGTTCCAATGATATGGTCTGAACAGAAAGACCATGTATCAGATTGTTATTTCTGCCAAACTTCTATCAAAGGAATTAATCACAAATCTAGACACACCGTGAACTATCCGAATTTACAATCTGCTCAAAAACCTATCCCACACAGTGATGATCTGCCTGTTCCTCAGCCTCCAGTAAACAATCTGCATGGACATGTTTTCGAAATATTGTTTGTAATTTTCTTGGAAACCACAAGGCCGAAAACTATGAAGAGTTGGTCAACAACCTCAAATGCAGTATGTCGCTCAAGATACACTTCTTACACTCTCATTTGGATTTTTTTCCTCAAAATTTGGGAGCCGTTAGTGATGAACACGGCGAGCGATTCCATCAGGATATATCATACATGGAAAAACGGTACCAAGGCAAGTGGAGTCCGAACATGTTGGATGATTACTGTTGGACACTCAAAAGAGATGTGCCTGACGCTAAATATTCCCGAAAATCCTGAATAAAAGTCAAATGTTAGTTGTTTTTCTTGATTAAATTCAATTTTAAACCATATTTACTTAAAAAAAAAAGTGTATTGCAGTAGCAAGAAAACTGAGGGTGACTGAAACTTTTTAAAAATGCAGATTATTAACAGGCTAATTGTAGATACAAAATATCCCATTCAAATTAATTTAACTTTCATTAAGGTCATTTTTGTCAATCAGTGTAATCTATCAGTACAGTAGGTTCTGCTTACTGCTTATACTGAGTTGGGGCCAGCTTGGCAACACACAACATTGCACTTTCTGTTTATTTTTTAAGTTTGTCTTTTAAACTATATTTTGTTTGTTTGTTATATGTTTTATCGTAAATAATTTTGCTGTAAATTGTCTTTGTGGTGTGTGCTGTCGTAAAAACGGATTCTATTATATTCTATACAAGAATATAAATATATTAATTTGTATAGCTATGGCAAAAATTATAGCGAGAAGTTAGGCAGTTACTATCCTGATTCATTTAGAAAAACTTAATACTCCCGAAGTATGAGTGGTAATTTTTATTTTTAAGAATAGTCAAAATAATTAAATAGAAATATGTAGAGTTCAATTTACTGCATTATAAATTTTCTTTTATCGACAGCTTTTTTCAAAAAGCCATGTTTGATATTTTGGAAGAAAACAAAGTTTTTTAATTTATCTGGAACACTCCATAGTTTATTATGATTACCAGATTCCTTCTATCCTTTATTCCTTAACGTTATATCATTATATATCTTCGAAATATGAAATATATGAAAAGTATGTGAGAAAAAAAACGGAGGAAGATCGTAAAAACTATTGCGAGAATCTTATCTTGGGGTTAATATAAGAAAAAAAAAGTATTTCTTATAAAATGTTTATTTACATTTTCAAGTTCGCTCTACAAGAGTTTGCAGTTTGCTTTACACAGTCATTCAACTTTATACAACATATTTTTTTTTGGTTTTTATATACATTTTGTATAAAAAGCAGTCCGTTTTGTGCGCGGTTTAGAGGTAGGGTTCAGTGCCATCCGTGTCCCTGGTTCCAGGGTTCTTCGGGCGCGGCGGCAGCGGCGTGAGCGGCATGAGCGTACTGGGCAAGGTGAGCGGCGCGCGCGTGTTGTACCTCAGGGGTATCTACCACGTATTGGCCGTCGTGCGTCAGCTGAATGTGGGCCTGTTGATTAATACAGTTTTAGACAACAAAAAAAAGCTTCTTGCGAGACTCTGTTGGCATACGTTTACTGATTAAAGAGACACGTTAAGAAGTATTTTTGACATGATATTTAATTTCGGTCTGTATTACTTGCTTTCTTAGTTCTGTTCTCTATAGTATAACATAGTATAACATGGAGATTTGTATGGGGATGACAAACAGTTATCTTATTGCATATTTTTCAGTCTATGCTAAATAAAAGTGGAGAAAAGATATAAAACAGTACGTACGGTGAATTCATTGCATCAAAACACTAATCCATAATAATTACCGGAGGGCCAGTCCATTTGCCGTATCCAGCGGCATAACCGGCGCCATAACCGGCGCCATGACCAAGAGGTGCTGCGGCGTAAGCGAGAGGAGCGGCATGTGCGACGGGTCCGAGACCACCGTGAGCGGCATTAGCGTGAGCCGCGGCGTGAGCGGCCTTTAAGTGAGCTACCTCGGGGGTGTCAACGACGCGGCCATCGTGAGCCAAAGGTGCGGGGCCGTATTTGATAAGACCTGCGGGAATAAATCTGATTTAATTTCTAGAATAGCCCTAAATTCTGCAACTATTTTCCTGCAACAGACTTATTAAGCCAGAGTTTAAAGTGTGACGAGTATTCAGGTAAAAACGTAACTTGGAATTTTCTAACTGTACAATTGATATTACCAACTAATCAACTTTTATCAGATGGTATTTGATGGTAATTTAATGAATTACAAACAAATCTTCTTCTATCTCCCTAATGATTACTGGAAGATTACAGTAGGAGTAGAAAAATTTTAACATATTCTTTGAACATTATCATTCCTCTCAATTGCGAATAAAGAGCATTTATGATTTTAATAAATACGAACCAGCGGCAGGAGCGCCGTAGTGACCAGCAGCGTAACCACCGTGACCGCCCAAGATTCCGGCAGCTGCTGGTGCCCACGCTCCGTGTACAGTGGATGCTTGTGCGTGAGCCGCAAAGTGAGCGGCCTTAGCGTGAGCGACCTCGGGCGTATCCAGAACGTATTTACCGTCCGGACTTAACTGGATGTGTGCAGGAGGGCCAGGGTAAAAGGAGGCCTGGGCCATGCATAGCGAAGCCGCGAGGATAATCTGTAAAAGAACAAATTAAACTTATGAATATAAACAAGTTCAATTGATATTTTATGTTTGCAAACAATAGTTGATTCTGAAGGTTAATTTCAAAAATTGAATCAAACTTTTTAAGACCTGGAGACCATCATAAATATAAACAAGTTCAACCGAAAATTTATTTTTAGTAACAAAATTTGAATCTAAAGGTGAATTTTAAAAATCGAATTAAGCTTTTTAATGCCGGAAGATCAAAGAATCTCCTTCATAATGTAACAACACTATAAAATAATATAATACCAGATAACTTTAATAGAAACTGTAACCAAATTAATATGTAACGAAGACAATGTCGAAGAAAACGAGAAGTTTCCTGACATTGGCCTTGAGTAATTGGAGCGAGACTACGAGATTGCATGGTTTCACGTCACCAAAGTTAAACGGATAATCCGTTGGTTTTGTTTTCATTATATAGTCAGTAAAGTTGTGGATTTTCAGTAGATAAATAAAGAAAAAAAATTTTTTTTCCTTGGAATTTTTTTTTTCTTTAGAAAAAAATACAACAGCAAACTTTTTTAAACATTGTATTAGTTAATTGAGAACTTTAGTCAATCAAAGACAAACAATAAGATTATTACCAAGTTCTAAATTTAAAATGTTTGTTTTTTTTTTGTTTAGTGATAGTCTACCAAGAAGTTTTATTATGTAAAGGAAACAATGAGTTCATATTTCATTATACACTCAGATATTAACTGACTTGGTAATAGATATACAATCTATTGTGGAATCGCGATATCAACAAAAAATTGTTAGTTAAAATTGTCGTAGCTTAAACCTGTCAATTTCTTTAGTATAAATAACAAACGTTTCACTCTTATATTCGCAAATAATTTTTAAGGTCACGTAACCTATTAAAGACATTTTTACGCTTCAACGAATTTCACATTCCAGCGCAGTGTAATTGATTTTGAAATGATATTAACGCTTGCAGAAATTATTTCTATTTCAACGAAGCAAAAAGCTTACATCTACAATGCAATAACTAGAACATAAAGCTTAAGATACAATATCATCTAACATATTATGAAACACAAAATTGTGTTAGGCAATTGACGATTTTGTCAGTTAGAAGTCTTCATTACATTTCGCAAGCTTTATTCTAAATAATTATCTAATAGAAACTTAAAAATAACACAGACAACGAATTTCTATTCAAAATTAATTGTAGTAATTTTATATTAGTATCGGTAATTTGATAAGTCTCACAACAGCACGTGGCATAATGTCGTTTATCTCCATTCTGTTTTGGCAACGAACCGTGTGAATATTTAAAAAAAAAACACTTATGCAATGTAATGCCTGCACGTAAGCGACTATAATAGATATATATCCAGAATTTCTGAAAAATTTCATAATCTTTGTAATACTTAAACTAGTTCAACTGTTTGTGAAAGACATGACGCCTGTGTTCTCGAGTAACTTACTCTAGTTTGTTTTAAGGTTTGTTCGATTCTCGGTCACATTTAAAATAAAGTTTTTTTTTATTTATGTTGCAGTCTATTTAGTCCCTTACAACTCATCATGTTAATAATAATGTCCAATGTCTGTGGACCGTTTTAAACCTAACTCATAACAGATGACATGCTTTTGACTGTACCTTCAGTGTTTTGAAATTTCTCAAAAAAATTCAATATATGATGTATGTGTAATAGTAGAAAGGGAACATCTACGTAAAAAAAAATGATATTTTTTTAAAGAAATGAATCTATAAACTATTTGATAAAATATGTAATATATCTCTACTTTGGTTTTTAAATATCCTCTATTACTGAATGAGTTATTTAAAGTGTTACATTTCATTTATATGCAACCAGCAACAAGTTGATATTAGTAAAGAGTTACGTTAAGCGGTTAAGGCGGGGCATAGTTGCACGCACCGGCTGCAGATGTCAGATAGAACAACTGGTCTAGGAAATCGGTGCACGGCACCATAAATCCTAATTCCAGACGCGGAACTTCATTAAAAACAGTAGCCGACCATAGATAACATAAACCGACGACGGAAAAAAGCAAAAAATATTAAGAAACAAATATTTCTTTTGCGCGATATGATCTTGAGAAACATAAATATTTTTTAACTAATGCAAGCAGATGAGTGTTCTTTTACTCTTATTAATTTAAAAACCTTTATTATATAACGCATGTTAAATTTTTTTAAATTTCAATTTAACTGAATAAATTGTCAAATCACTGAACTAAAGAGTTTTGTATGGGCAGTGTTAACTGACAATTATATAAAATAATAACAAATTTTAATTTTAAATCTGAAAACCCTCGCATTCTCATTTTAAATATTGACAGACATTTTAAATATTCAAATCAAAGTATATAACAAGAAAATAAAAGTCTAATAGAATCAACGTTCTATACTAATTATATTCTACATTAGTAACTAAGTTCATATTAATACAAGTAGGCGGATATTATCCGAATAAGGTAATATGATTCCCATCCTATATCCGAGTATTGTCTTATTCAGCTATCTGAGCTATAGAGCAGACATCCATTGTTGGGGAAGACGTCACTATTTTGTACGCCATTGTATTCCTTTATCGGATGTAATGGATAGAAGATATTATCCTTGAAAGTAAACGGTATTAACATCTCCATTTCCATAGTCAATAACCATATTGCTTAAAAAATAATGTGGATAATATTTAGTATTTAGCTTTCATTGGGGTGTTTTTGTGTGATAATATTAGTGGATATATAAATTTGTCTGAAAAAAATTGGAAATTATTTATTGTTGTTTTACTATAAATTGGTGTTACATTAAATTGAATTATGGCAACTAACTGATTAAAAATCTATGAAATTTCTTTATGTAAAATTCAAAGGCAAATGGGCGTTCACAGATGTCAACAAAAATTGTTTATTGACACACAATAACTCTCCGCAGGTTTACATTAACATATTCAAATAAATGTCTAGTGCAAGTGAATAATATTATAATTCTTTTCTATTGGATTTTAACGGTAAATAGAGAGTACTATCGTAAGCTATTTTGATAACTATTCAGTAATTTATTTGAAAATAGAATTTCGTTTTTTTCTTATTTTATTTAAGACCACCTGCCCTCATTATTGTGCCTTTGTCAAATCTCTTTTATGAAACATGTCTACCTTAAAATACAATTAACTTCTACAGTTTTTCAGCTATAGCAATGTTAACTTTGATAACTATTTGGTGAGTTATTAACATTTTAAATACATTGCGTCTTTTAAATGTAAACGAACTCATTTATAAATCACCAAAATATTTCTCAACATAATAATTAATATAACTATTACGGCACAATGCGTATATATGACTAACATAATAGCATGTTTCAATTTAAATTGAAAATTATCTTTTTGTAACGTTGGGTGTGTACAATAAATATGCCATTAAACTAAAACGGTCAACAATGACTTTGATATTTCGCTCAATTTATTTTTGTCTCAGGTAGATGGACTATAAAATTGTATTACTGTTTTTTTTTTAATCAAGCAATTACTTTTAACTGAATAAAAACTAATCATCACATCTGTAATGTAATAAGTCTAGCTGATTAGACAATGATGATATTTAGCAAAACATATGCTATAAACGATTAATATAACGACTCTATGTAGTCTTGATATATTCGCCACAATAAAACTAAATGCAAACGTCCAACTCGAACTAGATGGATAATTTGATTTCCACTTTACAGCAAATAACTCACGTCATTTTATAAACAATTGAATGTTGAGCAATTTAATAAACATCCAAGCCCATAGAAAGATTTGCTACGAATTTGCTATGTTACTAACATGAGTGAATTATTCCTGGCTATAAGTAATTCTAAAAAGGAGCCATATCTACTTTAAATTGCTTAGGTATAGGTAAGTAAATTCAAAAATCGAATGTAAGATTTTCTTTATTCGAAACTCCTTTGTGCAAATGGAGTTTTCAATCAGATTGGAGACTATGATCTTCTATAATTAAATTCGATACACGCGAATCAGTATGATTAGCCGAGATTGCCTGATGTTATGTCAGTTTTCAATCCAGGAAAATAAAAGGACTCGGACAAAGCGGTGCACTGTAATTTGTGGGCGTATGCATTCTGTTGCAAAATGGCTTTTGCAATAGATCGGAATTATCATTCGACTAACTGGTGCACAACCAGTATTGCAATTTGGTTGCCCAAGTTCCTAGTAGGCGTTAGGAAGTGTTATGGTTGTACGAAGGTCATAAAAATATTACTTTGAAAATGGAAATCGGGTTGGTCACGCTTGACCTGTAACCTATAAGTTCATAGCGACCAATATTTTCACTGTAATAAACGTAACATTACTTTTTGTATTACTTTAAATTGAAATTTACTTATATTATTAGGTAACTTTTACGTTTCGTGTATATTATATTCGATACTTTGTTAATTTCCTTTAGCTTCTAGATATTTCAAATTTTAATTAACTAGATAATGTAGTTCAATTCATGATGGCGTGATGTATATAGGATGTTGGTAACTTATGTATTATAATATAAAATAAACATAGTTTTACATACTAATTTTTACCAATTAAGTCGTAAATTATATCTGATATTATTTTATTCTTGAAAGTTATAGTTTACTTAAGATAAACCCAAATCTTTTAACGTATTTCAATTAAGTTTATTACCATTTTATTCGGTCGTAAAGTTTTAAGCTCGCGCTTTGTAGAATGCGAAGAAGCCCGCGATTATTCTCGCCCGCCCAGGCAGATAGCGCCTTTGACAGTTGTTTAGATGCAAAACAATACTCTCTCGACCGTGTTAGTTTATGATCAACCTTATGAAAATTTTATAAGTAGGTGCAACAAATGTGGGCGAATCCGGATGCATAATATTAATCATCAAATGTATGGTTACTATATCCTTGACATGCATATAATTTTAAATATGCTTATTAATAATTTTAGGTTGGATTGATATATCAGTATACTTATTTTATGTTTGTTTATTTTGTTATGAACAATTGTCTACAATATATTATTTTCATTATAAAATGTATATTATAATAAAATATCATTCTAGTAGAAGGATTAATGACTAATATGACATTAAGATAAAACGCTATTTAGTGCTTTTTTGAAGTAAAGCCGTTCTACACAAAAATTGCCTTTAAGAAAAAAAATCACTATATCGAATTTCCCCAGTGACACATTTTGTTGCTTGATTCTTTTTCCATTTAATGCCACGATATACATAAGTCTATTTATGTAATAAAATCTTTGTTTAAATAATAAATCGTAACTACCACTGGCTGAAACTTCACTGAAGAAAAACTTTTATTGCGGCTGAATAAACCGATACATTTAAAAAAAGAACAAACAAAATTGACACTCACCATAGACTGCATGATTACTGTGTTATTCTAAAGTTATAGAGATCTCAAACGAACTAACTTAGGCGCTGCTGGCTATCCAGTACTCGCCTAGAAATTTTCGCCTAAGTGACGACGTGTGCACGCAACTAGCTTCGTAGTCGGAATGCCGATTGGTCACAGAACGCCCCCTTATATATGTAACAGCCCGCTTGAGGTAGTAATTGGAAACAATTAGCCGCTCAACAAGTGCACTGGTGTAATTTTTAATTGTGAGATGGGCGAATTTCCGCCGGAACTCGACCAGGGATGAAGAACGGAGGATGCAGTTCAATCTATTTCGCTTCTTGTAAAGTTTTTCTTGTTTTTTACTTACTTTTGTTTAATCCGTTAGATAAACAGAATATATTATTAATATTTTAACACGGAAAGAAATATATTTTTATTAACATATGTTTTTTTTTGGCATATTGTATTGGGTTATATGAAAAGTTAATCGATCCAACTTTTTTGTACATGAGTGTAGTCTTTGTTACATGATTTTGATTAATATTACCAAATCTTGGTTTTATATTAAATAAAGTATTATAAATTGGATGCTAGTTGCAAAATCATTATTTTAAGATCTTAGTTGAATCTTTTACAAATTCTTAATGATTCTGGTACTTAAATCCTTTAGAGTCATTATGAAATCAAGCATTTGTTTTAATTTGTGAATCAATCTGGTACTTAAACGCTTTACAGACATCATGAAGTCAAGCATTTGTTTTATTTTTTGAATTTTCAAAATATTTTCTTTATTTATAGAAGACTTTTTAATTGATATTTATAGAAATTAAAAATAAAAACAATAACCATTTCTATTTCCAATCTATAAAAATAAAATGATTTACTGTCAGATAATTTAACAACCGTGTTTTAACAAAAATGTGAAACTACTAAAATAATTTTAAAAATTATTTAGAAATGTTTATTTTTGCTCATATAGGTTTTGTTATAACTGTTTGTTCCTGAATAATAATAAAAAAATGAGATCTTTTCATTTATTGGCGTATAAAATTCAAGTTTCTATTATCGAAAACCCCATCTTAACATAAGGTTGTGGGTAAAAAAAAAGCCTAATATAAATGACTTTCCATATACAAAACTATAGGACTCCATTTTCTTTGATGTTTACTGTGAACGACCCTGGCTCCGACACAAAAGGTCGTAGGATCGTATCCCGTAAGTAGCAAATTTTTAGGCGATGAACACAATTGATTACTCTCGCCATGTACGTCCGTGTTGATTACCAATGTTGTCTTCTATTGTTTTGTTGTTTTTAGAAACTCTGTATAAACTGAATGTGGGTGAAATTTTTGGTGGTGATCCCGAGTTCAATTCTCGGTACGTTCAATGTTTTCAACATTGTCTCGGGTCTGGTGGCAGTACCTTCGTTGTCTTAGATACTCCATAATACGGAGGCTTTCGCTAGTCATCATGGAATCTGAACAATGTAGGTACCTATGTGATGTTGTGTAATATACATTTTTATTTTTTATTTTTATATATTTCTAATGCACCTATATTAGCTATTTTCCATTCTTCTTTCTTTCTCCACAAAAAGGAACGTACTATATTATGTTCTCTGACTTTGCCGTAATATTTTTAAAAAATAATTTTTAGATATTATATGTTTTTTTTTGAGTAGCTCGGTGGCCAAAAAAATATTATCTCAAGTTACTTCGTGCTTCGGACGTTAAGCCATTGATCCTTCTGCTTTTGCAGTGCGTTTGCAGTCGTGAATACCCTCCAATCCGCATTGGGCCAGCGTGAAGGTTCGTGGCCCATCCTCCTTAACCATCCACAAGGAATGCCTTACAAGAATTGCCCCCTACAGTGGGGACGTAAAAAGGCTGATGATGAAATTTTTGATGTAGAAATTATGTAGCTACCATTGATACCATTGATACAAATAAACTTGTAGCTACAGTAAGTGTTAGAATTCAATACTCATCAAACTAATAGTAAGTGTCTCAAATACTTACAAATGTATGGTACATGCAATAAAATGTAATGAGACAAATATAAATTGGAGCTCGATGGCGTTAGCAAATCTGGCATTGGCCCTGGAATGGGTGACCAAAAATGTATTATCTGAGCTCTTGTGAGCTTTGTTTTTTCTTATTTTTATTCGTTAATACCTACTGGATGTGGTAGGTTATATCCTATTCTCTGAAAAGATGGTTTGTTCCATAAGCGTTAGCTAATGCTATGCATTATGCTGCTAAATGCATGTACCTTGTTATTTATGTTTATTATTGTAATTACATGTATTATTTAAATTTTCACCTGTTTGAGTTGAAGAATTTTCTTAATAACATAAATGATATATTGCACGCAAAAATCTGATAAACCATTGACAGTTGACCAGTGCCGGATTTGGGCTAAAAGAGCCCACTCAGTTTGCTGAAGCTAATAATAGTCAGTTGTTTAATATTTTAATTTTAAATTTATAAATATAAAGAAAAATAATACTATATTTTTATTTTGAATATTCTATCTTGAAGAAATAAACTCCTTTCTTTGATTTTTATTGCATTTCTTTTATTCCACTAATAAGCGGCAAGGCGTTCTAGAGCACATCTTGTGATGTGAAAATATTTAAATACTTATAACATATACTTTAACTTGCGACTGAGTTATCGAAATTATTCATGAATTTTCGTTTCGTATGTCTTAATCATTACATTACAGTACTATTTCTTTATTACTTTCCTTATATTAAAGACAAACTCTCTCACGTGCCGAGATTCAATTCACTTACCAAGAGAAGATGGTAATGACTAGTGAGGCTAGGTTTAGATGTAGGGGTTGAATCTGGAGCTCTCCTGGCAAGATCTCGGATTCTTCGCACTCCCTTGTGGCGGTTATTTAAAAATATATAGATTAGTATACGTCCATTATTGTGGCAATATTAGCGGGGCGCGATAGGTACCGCTCAAGGTCAATATAAATTTTAATGAATGTTCGATATAGGTAGTCCACAAGAAAGCCTATGAGATCAGTTTCTTATAAATTCATTAAATGTAACTAGTATATTTGCAACTGTTGTAAAAAAGCTAATTCCATTATAACGATAATAATAATAAATAAGTTAATGTCGGCAAATATTAAAGGAAAGCAGCATGTATCATCGGTCACAGAACGTCGCAACAAATAATTGTAAAGTATAACATTAAGCTATGTGCGTCGGTTATGTCTGTCAATAGTGCGTCGAGTGCATTAACGTATACTTCAGTCGATACGCTAAATATATATTTTTTTCAAATGTGTACCGACTATAATATTTATCTTTTAATGCTTATGAACACATGGTAAAGCCCTTAAAGTTTTAAGATTAGGAACGTATATCATGTTTTGTAGTAGTTATGCTGGATAATCGTATTTCTGTATTCCTAATCCGGCACTGTAATTGACAGTTCAAAATAATGTTAGTGATTAAATCTAAAAGACAAGTGGGCGTGTAAGAAATATAACTATTCGACTGTTAATTATACAAATTTTATGTAAATACAGTTCAATAATACTTCTAGAGCTCCCCCGATATACAAAGGAAAAAAAATAAAAATAAAAATTCGTGAGCTTTTTCACTTTCTGCCCGGAGAAACGTCGAGTGGAAACACTAAGCTCATATCTAGTTGCGACGCACTCCGCACTCTACTTAGAGAACCCTTTGTGTTTTGTCAACAAAAAGTACGTTTTTGTACATTTTTTTGAGTTATAATGTTGATATTTAATATTTTAGCTGTGGTTTTTTTTCCTTAATTGCAAATTCAGTTCCGCAACAGTGATATTGATTGATTGATTGGGTAACGATATGGGTTTTGTAAGTGTCGTTACTACTGCTGGTGAATTTCTTTTATTTGTTCTTCTAATCAGACAAAAGACGTCCTGAATGAATGGTAGATTGAACAAATGGAGAAATGTATTTTTAGATAAATTTATTTTGACTTTAACTTTGCAGTACTATCAGCATTTATTTTGTTTTTTTTTTTTTAACCTTACACAGTCTCCTTATACATATAATAACACCAATTGGCGTGATATTTTCTAAATTATCTCAATACTACCCAGGTTATGGTACTTTCATGGTTTCTGATTTCCGTAATGCAAAAAATTCAGCTACTTCATTTTGGGTCTCTGCAATTTATATGACGTTGTCTTTTTATTATTCAAAATAAATACATAAACGTAATTCTGTTATTAATTCATTTTATTCTCTTTTTGTAAAAGAACACCATTGTGTATTTGTGATATTTTTATATTTTAAATTGTGCTTTGGAAAGTACCTATATTTTTTATTTTCTTGTGTCACAACTACATTCTATTCGGACGTGTTCGATGAAATCGAAAAAGCAAAGAATTGTTTATTCTGTAATATGTATATTTAATACTAGCTGTTGCCCGCGACTTCGACCACGTGATTATGAAGATATGCATTACCACGAAATCCTGTCTTAATTGGAATCTATTTTTTTTTCAAAATTAGAACCCCCATCTTAATTAGCATCTAAATATTTTTTTTCAAAATTAGAACCGACTTCTTCAACTTAAAATAAAAAGTGAAAAATAATATCCACTCATCTTGAAAACGACTTTTTCAAGAAACTGTTATGAAGTGGGGCTGCTATCGCTTAATTAATAACCTACAGGAAACCTCCGCCTGACTACAATAGCAATTTCTTGAACAATTTGCTTTTAAATTCGCACTATTTAAAGTTTGAAGAGGGTTTTATTAAAAAATGAAATCTATTAGTATGGCATGTGGGAAATAACGAGCACACTGAATTGGGATGACGACTGGGTAAAAAAGAAATCTCATTAGTCCGACAGCCAGATACGTATGTTTTTTGTTCCAATTTAAACCAGAAATGGCTTAGATTAGGCGTTAAAGTTGAGGAATGGGTGCGTGCTACGTCACAGTTTTGTGGAAAATGTACAAAAACGTGATATCATGCGACATTGCAACTCAATATATCGGCGTAATTTATTTATTGCACAAAAAATACCTGATGGACAAACAGACAAAATTTAGTCCTCACCCTATTTCCCAATTTTAAGTATATTCCTTATACCATCTAAAGAAAAATCTGCAGTTAAGACGCTAATAAGCTGACGTTTATGAC